ATACTGTGTGTTCATCTACAACTAAATAAAAAAAAAAATTGAAGACTGTATATATAGGGAGCTCATCAGAATCATCCAAATCAGGAGTTACTGTCCTTAACATCTACAGGAGCCAGGCAGGTATACAATGTGTGAAGGACAGACTTTAGAGTGTGGGTACTGTGACTAAGTAAACTAAGGGAAAACATCAAATAAAGAAGTACCCATCAGGACTTGTGTGCCCATCAGGGCTAGGATGTAGCTCAGTGGCAGAGTGCTAGCCTAGTATGTGCCATGGCCCTGGGTTCCACCCGGAGTATCATAGACCACCCCCACCCCATACACACAAAGAAATGAGGAACACAAAGAAATGTATTAAAGAATTAAAATAAAACTCTTAAAAAAAAAAAAAAAGATCATTCATCATTCAATTCCAGTGGACATCTAGACCTGATGTCTAGTGATGTGTGTGGTCACGCTATAGAGTGGCAACAGCAAAGCCATTGCTGCCATGTGGTAATGGAAGCCCAGGGTGACATATCTTCTGATTATTAAAAAAACTTTAGAGATGCAGTTCTTCACAAATAATAATCAAAATTTTATATGAAATCTCCTGAATTGTAAATGTTGGCAACATTTTATTTGTAATAGCTTCTTTTTATTATAGAGGCAATACACATGTATTGCATACAAATAGAAAATGTAGGGTAACAAAAAACATATTCTCATCACTCATATCACTGATAACATCTTAGTGAAAATCCTTTTAGATTTTTTCTTCACAAATAAATAGACATTTTATTTTATTTTTTGGTACTGGGTATTGAACTCAGGGGTACTCAACCACTGAGCCACATTCCCAGTCCTATTTTGTATTTTATTTAGAGACAGGGTCTCACTGAGTTGCTTAGAACCTTGCCTTTGCTGAGGCTGGCTTTGAAMTCCCGATCCTCCTGTCTCAGCCTCCTGAGCCACTGGGATTACAGGCATGCACCACTGTGCCCGGGTAGACATTTTAAAAACAAAATGTGATTATCCTATAAATATGGATTTGGAACCTGTTTGTTAATTATTTCTATTTATTTATTTATTGATTTATTTTTAGTTTTAGGTGGACACACTATCCCCATTTTACATTTATGTGGTGCTGAGAATCCAACCCAGTGCCCATGCATGCTAGGCAAGTACTCTACCACTGAGCCACAACCCCAGCCCCTTGTTAATGATTTTGATTGTTCTAGCTCAGTAAATCTTCACCTAATCTAATCCCCTGTCCATATTTCAATGTTTCTAATTGACTCCAAAATATCTTCTATAGTAATTTATTTATACCAATAGAGAATCCAAAACTGTGCATTGAATTGTTAAGCCCCTTAAGTCTCTCAGCAGTTTCAACTTTTTTTTTTTTTTCTGTATTAGGGATTGAACTCAGCACCTTGCACATGCTAGGCAAGCACTATACCTCTAAGCTCCATTCCATCCCTTTTTTCAAATTTTGAGTCAGGGTCTTGCTAAATTGCTCAGATTGCATTCGAACTGACAACCCTCCTGCCTCAGCATCCTGAATAGCTGGTATTCCAGACATGTACCACCAGACCCAACCTCACCTATTTTTTTWAAAACACTAATTAATAAATTTTTGCCAGAATCAATAATTCTATTGGAGTTCACAAAATGCTTCCCCCCCCCTCCAATTCTATCTTTTCTTCTGCACTTATTAGCTGGCATTTTCTTCTTATCAACTAGGGTTTAATATAAAAAAAAAAAATAGGGCTAGGGCTGTAGCTCAGTGGTAGAGCACTTGCCTAGCACGTGTGAGGCACTGGGTTCAATTCTCAGCACCACATAAAAGTAAATAAAGGTCCACTAACAACTAATACAATATTAAAAAGAAAATAGACAGGGCCGGGGGTGTAAGCTCAGTGGCAGAGTGTGTTAGCATGCACAAAGGCCCTGAGTCCAATATCTAGCACCAAGAATAACAGCAACAATTCTTCCAGTGGTCTAAACTCAATGCATTTGGGGGCAGAATTTAGCCTGATTGCTGTCACCTTCTGATCTACAGACAAAGCCAGACAAAGTCTCACTCATCAATGCTCTATACCCTGCGGCATTAGGTCTTTTATTTGTAACAATCAATTACTTTGCACTTGTTGACATGTTGCTTGTAATCTTCTCAAGTCATTTTATGTGTGTGTCTCCCTGGCTAGACTGTGACCTCCTCAAGGGCAGGGACTGTCTTGCAATATATTTCCCATGCTTTTCCTAAAGTCCTACTAAAGGTACTTTGGCTAGTTAGTCCTAATTAACGAAAAAACACTGGTAAGAACCCAAAGTTTTCAATATTGTTGCTCGTGTTTCTTGTCTTTCCTGAATTCTCTGTCATAATGAAGTGTGAATCTCATTTACAATGATAAATAAAGCTTTTCTGCTCACTTGTGGAGTCCCTGTGACGGAACATAGGAAGAGAGGGAAACAGTTCTTTATTAGTCTTCAAAAGTTATAGTCTTCATTCAGCTATGACCTTGGGTAAATCACATCATCACTGTTTCTACTTCTTCTTTAATAAAATGAGGTAACTGGATTATCTTCTAAAATCAACCTCTCTTAGTTCTAACTTTCTAAGCCTAATTAGTACCTTTCAGTAGTTATTCCTCCTGACCTGTCCCTCCCTGCTTGTATGGCACCCTGATTCCCTTCATTTGGGTCAGCACTATCCTTCCCAAGTAAGAATGGAGGTGAAATAACACCTGCAGTAAACAGAATTTGCCTCTGATGATTGTTCTCCTATCACAGTTAGCCTGATCTCATCTATAAGTCCCAGTAACAACTTGCTTTTGTTTTCAAGGTCAAGCCTTAGTCCTTTACAGTTGGGGCCAAATGAGCACGTTCCAAGGTCCTCAATAAGATTGGCACAGCAGAGGCCCAGTCTGCAAAGTAGAAAAGATCAGAGAGGACTGAGATTGGCTAGACCTTTGTGGAGCCTTATCATAAGAGCTCTGAATGACCCCAGCCAGCTCTAGGGTATTTATTGGTGTTTCTAAAACGAAAAATTAAAAAGACGTTTTATTTTCCCTCCAATCTTTTATTTCAATACTATTGCTCTTCTTTTTGTTTATAGGTACACTGAAGGCCTTATCCAACTGGCTTTATGTGCTTAGATATAGCTTTCTCTACCTCCTCCCAGACTGAGGAATCTCCAATCTAATTTATAAATGGAATCTTGGCATTTCCCTAGCCTCAAGAGCTCCAGGTGGTGGAGGGCAGGACAGTCAGGTCTCTAAGGACTTAAGCAGAGAGAGAACCTCCTCAGCCTAGTTCTTGATAATCCACATTTGGGCCAATGGCAACTAGAGGTGTCCAGAGCAAAGTGTTTAACTCTGCTGTCAGACCCTTTCTTCACCTCAGAACTAGTGGCTGCTGATGAAAATTGGGTGGCAGGCTGGGGATGTGGCTCAAGCGGTAGCGCGCTTGCCTGGCATGCGTGCGGCCCGGGTTCGATCCTCAGCACCACATACAAACAAAAGATGTTGTGTCTGCCAATAGCTAAAGAATAAAATTCTCTCTCTCTCTCTCTCTCTCTCTCTCTAAAAAAGAGAAAGAAAATTTAAAAAAAAGAAAAAAGAAAATTGGGTGGCAAGTTGGCCAAACAGTGTCTACCTTCACACTACCTCATGAATTTTTCACTATCAACTGTAAATATTAAATAGAAAAATTAAAGAGGAACAGTCTCCCAGCAAACAGGAAAAATGGAGGCTCCAGGGTGAGATGCAGGACACACATGGGGAGCCCACCACTGATGATGTGGGGCAGCTGGGGTTATTCTATCACAGCCTGCTCTTCTAAGGTGTTATGTCTTCCTTCGGAAGAAAGGAATAGTAGCCTATTGGCAAGAAGTGTCTTAGGGAGTCCCAGGGCTGGGACAGATCAGCACAGACCTAGAAGGAAAAGATCCAGTTAGATTAGGAACAGAGGGAGGCCAAAATCACAACAAGAAACAAAAGGTCAGATGACAGAGCAGTTAAGATCCCCAGAGTAAAAAAAAAAAAAAAAAAAAAAAACTGAAGGGACAGATGTAAAGCTACACAAGTTTTTGGTTTTCCCAGGCCTACAGAACAAGTAGTCTAGTTTTAGAAAATTTATCTCTAAGAAGTACATTTCACCCACTAGTACCCTGTTGAATGAACCTGACCTCTCCCCCTCTCACTCAGAGGCCCCTTTTATGGAATTCCCAGGATGACTGGACATCATCTTGGAATAATCCCCAAGTGTGGAATGTCTGTCCGGAGGAGTCAGCATTTTCAGTAGGAGACTAAGTGATAGAGGTTAAGAAAATGGATCTGGCTAAGAATATAGCTCAGTTGGTAGAGTGCTTGCTTCACATGCACAAGGCCCTGTGTTCAATCCCCAGCACCACAAAAGAGGAAAAAAAAAAAAAAAAAAAAAGATCAATTCATCTACAATTAGCCTAAAATGAATATGTATCAAATCTGCAGCATTTTGAAAGACTTAGCAGATTCACCCTTTTTACTTATTACTGCTATTGTCTGTATGACCTTTAATTGTTAGTAAATGGAGTATGTCTCATGCCTATTCATTTGCTTATGATATATTGGCATTTTAACAACAGTAATACAGAAGTCAGACCAAAGCATCAAAGTCCTACTGAACGCCATTTCTCTTTTTTTTTTTTGGCACTGGGGATTGAACCCAGGGGGTGCTTAACCACTGAGCAACATCCCCAGCCCTTTTTATTTTTTGAGACAGGGTCTTGCTAAGTTCCTTAGGACCTCAGTTGCTGAGGCCGACCTTGAATTTGGGATCCTCCTGCCTTCCAAKCTGCTGTGATTACAGGTTTGTACCACTGAGCCCAGCTCCATTACATTTTTCAAGGCATCTAACTATAAAGAAATACTGGACTACGAAACACAAAAAGGGATACACAAAATGTTTGTGTCAATTGTATTTATTGCTAGAAACTTTAAACTTTTTTTTTAAAAAAGTGTTTGAAATGTAGATAATATAGCAAAAGACATCCAAGAAATCTCATTTACAAAGTGCTGCAAATTTGATAATTTTATGTTGCTGTTAACTCAGGAGTACTCTTGGATGAACAGATGTAAGTCCTTGAAATACCCAAAGCATGACAAAAAAGAATAGAACATCTAAAAGAATATACAAACACCCAAAAGGGAACTGAGCTTTTGGCAAATTGGTCATTAAATGAACTGAACTTTAAGCATAAATTTTAAGAGTTCTAGCTTTAGGTGAATTCAAGTTTCAGCCAAACTCACTAGAATCAACGTGTTTTGCTCCCTCCTGCTCCCCCCAACCTGAGTTTTGGGGTTGCAGTGTACATAATTTGAGATCCCTCTGAGAGATGGCAGGTCTGGAGCTACTGCTAGAGAACCAAGTATAAGAATGACCTGAGAAGAAGGGAATAACCGTGAGTGTATGCAGGCAAGCACACACACATGTATGAATGCACCCATGTGCACATATACTGGGCTGTAGGGCTCAGTGCACCTAAACCTGGGAGTGTGTAGGGAGAGGGACCAGCCTGAAGCTTCCTAGACATCCCGCCCAATAAGCTACACACAGAGAGACCTGCTCATTACCTCCCCAACTAAGCAGAAGAGCAACCAAGTACAGGCCCACATGAGTCCCTGAGAAACAGGCAATACTGGCAGCAGGGCCACCAGGAGTTGGTCCCCATTCCCAGCAGAGGGATGAGGAGCTTTCCTGGTTCTTAGAAAGAAAAAGGCTAAGAAATAACTTGTTAATAAAGTCCAGGATTTCCATCTCTTCATCCAGATATAGAGATAGGAGACTGTGACCCAAGTCTGATGCCATGTGTGGGTCACAAAAAATGAGGCATTCCCACGATGTCCTCTCCTCCCATAATCCAGAACATTGCTTGAYTTATGCACGAACATACACTGGAGATACACATCATAATCAGACGTCCAGAAAGCATGGAACCCGTCTGAGCATATGCAATAGATCAGGATGCACATGTGGGAAGACCAGTCATCCCCACCCTGTCAATCAGAATATTCTTACTCCACATCCATTTGGAATGTTATGCTCTTTGGGTCCCTGGCCCTTGAGGCCCTCCCCAGAGGACTATTCTGCCAGGATTGCAATGTATCCTTGCCTCAGCCTCGGAAGGGCCCCACTGGCCAGAGAAATTTGTCAATGATGGCGATGGCAACAGTGGTGACTGCAGCTCAGACATAGTTGGTAGGGGGCTGTCGGGCATTGAGTCGCTGCATGTGACAGCCGTGGCAGAGCAAGTGCCCATCTAGAGGGAAACAGCAGCAGCCTTCCTCATCGCTCAGCTGCATCCGGCAGTCCTGGGGAAGAAACAACTTAGTTCATCTTTGCCCAGGAACCCCRGACACTGAGGACATCTAAGAGTCTGCCCTGCTCAACACTAGACTCCTAAAGACTGGAAGTAAGGGTTGGGGTTGGTGGGTAGGGCTTGCCAGTGGGAAGGTGGAAGAGAAACCTAAGAAATACCTCAACTGGACACCAGGTGTCGCTGCAGCTGCAGAAATAATGAGACAAGCCCCCATTTCCAGCAGTTAGCAGGAGTTCCCTAGTCTTAAAAATTAAGTCTTGAATCTGGGGAAGCCAGATTCAGAAAGACTTAAATACTAGGAATAGAGAGTGACTGGAGGATGAGCAAAAGACCAGATATAAGTCAGGACACCTTCCTGGTTTTCTCCGAAAGAAGGATACCTGTTCTAGTACTTAACTCATCCCCTCCCTCCCAATTCCATTTTTCTGCCCTGGACCCCAACACTCACCTCACAGTGGTAGCACTCAAAGTGATAATCACGGTCCATGGATATCACCCTCACAATGTCCTCACAGCCCTGAAAAATGCAGACCCCCATGGAGATGAGAGCAGCATGGCACCCCCAACTTCCCTCCCTCTGCACAGGACTCCTCCTGCACCGATAGGAAGATGGACCAAGGCCACCAGAGTCTCTCTACAATCAAATAATCATAGGTAGCTTTGAGATGCTTTGGCAAATCCTCGGGGCACTTCCCCTCCCCCTCCTTGGTGCTTCCCCCATGCTCCTATGTGAAGAGAGGGGGTAAACGGCACAGAATATAAATAAAGTAGGCCAAACTGAGGGCAAAGAGGACCAATAGGGTCTAATTCCTCAAGGGCCTTTGGCTTCCCTCCCTAAGCATACCTACAACTTAAATCATCTCTGGTTCCATGCTACCAGCCTTGAAGATTCTTTCACCTTTTTCCAGCCCCTACTTTGGGATTCGATGACCTCAACCTCGCTGAAAGCTCTCCTCTGTTGGGATTGGGATGGAAGATATGGAATCTGAGCCCCTTGAGGCTATCGGACAGTCCAGGCCCGGATGTTAGGGTCAGGGTGGTGACCCCAAGAGCAAAGTCACACGGGAATCTTCCTAGAGTGCATTCCTCAGCACCACCATTTCCCAAGGGAACCCAGGCCTCTTATCCTTACCCTTTCTTAGAGGCAGCAGCACTGGCTACCTTGCAGAAGAACCCAGACATACTGACCTCTGAAGGGAGGATGGGTTGACCGCAGGCTGCACACTTAGGGGCATAATTTCTAAAAGAAAAAAACCTAGTGATGAGCTGAGATTGAAGAATCCCTGGACCCAGTTCCACATGACACCCCCAGGGTTGGACTTACTTGTGGTAGTCAGTGACACAGTACACCTGGTTGGAGAAGTCCACTGTGAAGGGGACGCCATCTAGGCACTTGTTGCAAACAATGCATCGGAAGCAGCCTGGGTGATAGGACTTCCCCATTGCCTGAAGGATCTGGCTCATGGGGTGGAAGAATTAGTTAGTTTCCTTCCAGCCCCAGCTCTTTAGCTACCCTTTATGTTCCTTACTGCTCCCACTAACCTTGTCCAACCCCTTCCTGTAAGCTTACATGTAATTTGAGGGGACCAAGGAGTCTTAAATATAGAAGCCCTGAAAAAAGTAGTAGAGACCAACTGGGTCATTAGAGTTCAAACCTGGCTACAATATTAGGATCACCTAGGGAGCTTTTAAAAAATTACCAATGCAGCCAGGTCACAGCAGAGCTTACCAGTAGTAATCCCAGCAACTTGGGAGGCTAAGGCAGAAGGACTCGAAAGTTCGAGACCAGCCTCAACAACTTAAAGAGATGCTCAGCAATTTAGCAAGACCCTGTCTCAAATTAAAAAATAAAAAGGACTGGGGATGTAGATCAATAATTTAAAAACAAAACAAAAAAACAAATAAACACCAATGAGTGGGTTCTACCTCAATCTTCCATCACAATTCACAATTCTGGTGAGGGGACTCCACATTAAATAATATATTATATATATATTTTTATTCTTCCCATGTTATCTGCTAGGCTGCCACGGTTAGATTCATTGATCTGAGCCAAACCCTTCTTTTTATAGAAAAGAAAACTGAGTTTCAACTGATTCAACCAGTATAAGAATAGGGATTAAGACCCAGGATATAGGGTTGGGGTTGTAGCTCAGTGGTAGAATGTGCGCCTAGCGCATATGAGGCACTGGGTTCGATCCTCAACACCACATAAAAATAAATAAATAGAATAAAGGTATTGTGTCCCTCTACAACTAAAAATTAAAAATAAATAAATAAATAAATAAAAAAGACCCAGGACACCACACTTCTAGCTCAGGCTGGAGGGCCTGGTTGTGCCTGCAGAATCAGGGAGGGGTCAGGTCACAGAAGCCTAGAATGGGACTCCATCTCAGGGGCATAGGGAAGGCACTATAAACAATTGCTCTGGGGAGGAATGGCAAGAATGTGATTCATCTGGTGAAGGGTTTCTTTCCTGCAGTTTCACAGGCTCAGCAGAAGACACATCCCCTACCTTCTCCAAAATCAAGTGACCACAGACACAGCACTTCTCAGCTGCTTCCTGAAACCCTGAAAACTAGAGAAAAGACAGTTGGATGTTACCAGCTGAAAATGATGGGCGTAACCCTGGTGGGTTGCTAATAAAGGAGTTCCAGTGAGAGCCAATTCCACATCCAGGGGACCACTCACTCACCAGATAATCTTCCTCACAGTACACAGAGCCGTTGACACTGTAGAAAGCCTTGCAGCGCAAAGTTCTCCCTAGAACCAACAGAGAGGAGCTTGAACCTATCCCACAGCCCAGGCACAAGGCCCACTCTGGTATTCTTGCTACCCAGTGATGCACTGTACAGGCATAGTGTGATTAAACTGCCCATTAGTGCTTTTCCTTCCCACACCCCTCCAATTTGCTTTGACTGCATTCCAACCAACTTCTCTCCTCACTCCTTTGGCTCCTGCATCCTCAACAGTTTTCTACCATTCTCCCCCAAATGAATGCTTTCCCCTCCAGTGCCCAGTACATAGAAAGCCACCTGGGAGAACAAAGCCAACTGTATGCTGGAATACATAGAAAGGATCTCTGAGCTAGGTGCTGTACAATGTGCATGAAAAAAAAAAAAAAAACACATTGTTGAGGCTGGAGTTGTGGCTCAGTGGTAGAGTGCTTGCCTAGCATGTGTGAGGCACTGGGTATGAGCCTTAGCACTACATTAAAATAAATAAAATAAGATATTGTGTCCAACTACAACTAAAAATATTTTTTAAAAAAATCAAAATGTCACAGCCTTTCAACCTAGGAGTATCTCTGCCTCAGCACAGACATCCTGTGCTCAAAGACCTGTCTAGCTCCTTGAGAAAGACTATGGAAGTCAGGACATACTGGAGTTACTGCAGGAACAAAGTGCTTTGTTGGGATCAAAATGGGTACCCTTGCCTGATGTACTGGTCTGTTTCCTCAAACTTGGAGGGACCCAGAATCTTCAGGTCACTTTTTGCAGGCAGACAAGGCAGGACCATTTCCCATCTGACCAACTACCCAGAAACTGCTCTGTGGTGTTCTCAATTGTCAGGGATGAGGGAGGAGTGAGAACTAGTGGAGAATAGTCAATTTTCCTATCTTTCGCCTTCTTCCCATCAAAATTTCCACTTCTAGCTGTCTGGTAGTTTAGAAGACCTGACTTAGAAACTCGTGACATAGGGGAGGAAAGAGAAGGAAAGACAGACATATCCAGAAGAGGCCCTATAAAAGACAGACAGAGGAGCCTAAAAAGAACCAGGCAGAAGCTGGGGGAATGAGAGAAAAGCTGAGTGCTGGAGTCAGACAGGCAGAGATAGGAGATTAAAGGTTTAGCAAAAGAATCAGAATGGGTAAGCAGTGGGGAAGGGGTAATGAGAGGTGAGGGAGGGCGGGGTAGGGGGAGTTAAGGCTGCTGGGAGCACCCCCCCCCACAGAGGGCCTCCTGAGCTAACAGCAGCAGCGGGCATTCCTGGAGCGTGATGTCATCAGCTTGGCATGGCCTGGTGGCCTGCACTCTAGCGAGGTGGCTGAACTCTGACCAGCCAAGAGAAAACCCCCTCTCCGCCCCCCACAGCTCCCTACTCCCCCAGCCCACACCCCACCCTTCCCACATTCCAGTCTTTCACTGTCGCCCCAGGCAACTTGCTGCCCAAGACCAAACCCCACTAAGGAGAGACTGGAGGGCTGGGCGGGAGTCCAGGCTGGGCAAGCAGGGAGGCACAAGAAAGAGGGAGGATCGGAGAGGAAAGAGGCTGAACAGGGGCAGGGAGGATGGACTCCAAAAAGCAGACCCAGCATGGGGGAAGGAAAGCCAGGTAGAGCTGAGGGGGTAAGCAAGAGAAGGTGGGGCAGCTGTGGGCCTCCAGATACATGGTAGGGACCCAAGTCCCCACCAAGGTTTTGGAGCAAATGAAGAGGCACAAGCTCTTCCCTGGTTCCCCCCAGCACTTGTAAGCATGGATGTGGGGAGAGGTAGGGGGAGTACTTGAGTGAGAGCCACACTCACCACAGGAGCAGCAGACAAAGCACTGGGTGTGATAGAGACTGTCCAGGGCCTGGCAGGCATTGCTCTGCCCATAGATGCCTTTGTTGCATTTGATACAGGTGCCTGAGGGGACAGAAGAGGTTGTCAGCATCACTTCCACCCTCACCAAACCCCAGTTCAAATCCAGGAATCCCCCAAGCTTTCCTTAGTGCTTTTTCCTGATGTGTCAGAGGACACAGGCTCTCTTTACTGGGCTCCCTCCTGAGGAGAAGAGCAAGAAATGGGATGTAGCAAGGTCTTTGGAGGGGTAATTCCATTCTTGTTTACTTGATTTTCTGAGCATCTATTTTGTGCCTAGTACAGTACCCAATTCTGAAGAATGTCAAAGATAAGGTCCTTGGCCTTCAGATGTTTAGTTTCTGTTAAGCAGAAAACACTAAACAGGCAAGTCTGGGACAAATGGTCAGAGATGCACAGGGGCCCAGCAGAAGACATGAAAAAAAAAACTTCCTACAGAAAGGAAGTTAGGCCCAGGAGGCCTCTTCAGAACTTCAGTTTTCCCATCTATAAAACAAGCTGCTATTGAGGTATGGAATGATTTCTTTCTGATGCACACTTTCAAGAACAGAGAATAGAACCTCGCTCAGCAGAGGGCCTTGTGAGCATAACTCCTGTGAGGAGGTGGCTGCTGAGAATGCAGGTTGTGTTCTAGGGACCAGGTTTGCACAGGAAGGGGAAACTGGCAGAATCCCCAGTGCCTCCCTGCCATCTATCACGCAAGAAACAGAGCTGAGCTGCAGTTCCCCCAACATCCCCTACTAAGATACATGCACCTGGTCTGGCACCCGCCTTTCCTGGGTGTGTACTTTCTTCCCTCCACTCCCCAATTCCAGGCCCATGAGTGAGGGCTAGGGCCTGTCTTTGGGGAGCAGATCCCAACGGGCCCGCCCCACCTTTCTCCCTGGGCACACTGCCACACTCCCTGCCTGTTGGGGCCCATCCCAGTCTTTGCCCAGGGGCTTGGGAGCCTGTGCAGCAGCTGCAGCAACTGATGGGCCCAGGCCTGTCCTGCTCCCACCCTCTGGCAGCTGGGTAAGGCTGAAGCCAAGGAAGAGGGCCCCTACTAGGGGCAGCAGTAAGAGGGTACAGTCAGACTAGGATTAAAGCTGGTAGGGGGCTCTGTCAGGGAAGACAACCTGATGTCCAGGGATAGGAAACCTCCACCTCCAAATTAAAAATGTGTCCTCCTCATGGAAGAGGAGATCTGCCTAASATTGCCATACCAGGGGTCTTGTCAGAGGTATTCTTTAGGGAAGCTTTAGATACTAGGGAAAGACAGGAGGAAACTGCTCAGGCATGTCTAACTTACCTCCTCTCACCCAACATATCCACACCTAAAATCATCCTGCTATTTTATTGCACTTTCTCTGAGTTCCTTTCTTCATTTTGACTCAGATGGTTTAGCCAAAGAGACTTATTTCCCAGATACCTCTCCTAGGCCTCAAAAGGAAACTGCTAAATGGGCCCTGTCACTCAGTCTCCTTTGATCAAAATAATTTAGCATCACCTGCTCTAGGCCCTCCTTTCCCATGGTGGGAGAAATGAATGGGCTAGGGGTTGAACTATGCAGGCCCTTCCATCCTACACCTCTGCTACCTCTGAGCTTCCTCTCCAACTATCTCTCTCTGGCAGCAGTTCCTCTCCCTATTCACATTTCTAGCCAAGGACTTCTACAGCCTGGAATGGAGGGCAGGAATGTGGATGGTGAGAGAGCAGGGGAGAAGATACTTGGAAAACTGAAGAGGCCCACAGTTCTGGGGATTGAGCCCTCCTCTACACCATCAGATTATATGATGAAGTAGTTTGTGGGGGATAGACTAAAAAACTGTCTAAAATCCCACTTTACCCTCTAGCTGAAACATGTATCAATCAATACTTCTTCAACAAGTATTGTGGGTGAAGGAGGCCACCACCAGGTTTCTCTTTAACAGCAGCAGGAAGAAGGGGCTACTTCCAGCCTGAATTCTGAGCACTTAAGGCCAGAATCCAGGCCAGATTATTTTTGGCAGTCACACAGGGTCGATATCCATCCAGGGTGATAGTTGTCCAGTGGTCAGGACTTTTGCCCTCACTTCCAGAAGATGAGGAAACAGGCTGGTACCACCTGATCTCTGCTTCAATGCCCATGCGCACCTCGTCAGGACTGGGGATGAGCAGCACCTGGGTCCCTGTTTTCCGTTCCAGGGAGCTCCATCCTTCCTCCTCGGCTCCATTTCCCAGACAGCGGCCACGGTTCCTCGTGTTCTAGGAAGCCTTCCCCCCCCCCACACGCCCAGATCCTGGGCGCAGGAGCGCACCCCACCCCTCGGCTGCGGTGGGCCCCGCCCGCGGGCACCTGGAGCGCTCGGGCAGGAGTCGGCACGCAAACTGCCCGCCCTCTCCGCCCCCCCACCCGCGCATTCCCCGAATTCCTGCGGGCGGAGCCAGGGCCGGGGTGGGGGCGCGGCACGCTGAAGCCTGTAGGGGCACCGCCGGGAAAGGGGAAGTCGGGGGGTTGGGGGATGCTCTCACTGCTTCACTAGGTCCCCTCCTTACAAGGCCTCCAACCGCGAAAACCTAAGGTTCTCTAATGCGTGAGAAACTGGGACTCACGAGATAATCAGGGGGTTTGAATTTAGCCCGGTCCATTTGCAACCCAGTGGGAAGGGGAGAGCATCTGAGGTCCGCCCCCATCCATCCCTCGGGCCTCTTTTTTTCTGGTCCAGCGTCTCCTCCTTGGACCCCGGGATACAGGCAATTTGGGCCGTCGGGGCACTGGAGAGCCAAATGCTGAGACGGATCCCTCTCAGTCCCTAGCCACTTCACTCTCACTTACCGAAGTAGTCCTCTCTGGCCTCTGGCTCTCGCATCCGGGCCCGGGCAGCCTCCGGAACGAACGGACCCTGCGTCTCCTCGAGACCCGATGGTTCAATCCCCGAGGGTTCCCCGCGGGCTCCGGCTTCTCGCCCACCGGTGCCTACCGTCAGGCGCAGCAACGCAGTTAGCTCGTCCTGGTATCGGGCGCCCGCGGCGCAGTCCCCGTAGCCAGTCACCGAGTGTCGTCCGGGTTGAGTCCCACGTCTCTCCAAAGGCCCCGCCGCTCCCACTCCGGCCCCGGCTAAAGCTCCGGGGCTGCCCAGAGCCGGGGGATATGAGTGGCGGCTTTCCTGGCAGCCGAACCCCCGCGGGCCAGCCCCGCACAGTCGGTCCAGGGCGGCATGGAGCTCCGGGTAGGCAGACGGGACCCCTCCGGCGGAATAGCCGACCAGAGCACCGCTCAGGGGTGGGCCAAACAGGCACGGCCCTGCGGGCAGAGGGCTCCCGTGGCGTTGGTCGTAACCCATGCTGATGCCACTGGTACGATTACTGCAGGGCCGGCTACCTCCGGCTCCTCCAGCTCCCGCCCCGTCCAGCAGCAGGCTGCCGCGGGGACTGGACGGCTTACTCGCGTCGCTGGCTGAGCTACTGGCGAAACTGGAGCGGGGACTCAGGGCCGGAGCCGTGGTCTCCAGCCGGAAATCTGGGGGTAACGACTGAGGTAGAGGCAAGGCCCGGGTGGGCGGCGGTCCCCCGGGAAAGGAACCTTCGTAGCGCTGCGCCTCAAAGGAGCYGCGCGGGTTCCGCTCAGCGTCCTGGGGGCCTTGCTCCCGGGCTGGCTCCAATGTCTCATCTCCGGGTCCCCCAGTAGCTCCTCGGGGCCCTGATTTCCTAGGTCCCCCCAGMCCACTCAGGCGTCCCTTGCCCGGCCCGGGGGTCCCATCAGACCCAGACCGGCTAGCTTCACCCTTTCTGCGGCCGAACTTGGCGCTGCCGGAGTCCGAGAGTCTTAACTTCTCTAGCAGGCGACTGGCTTTCTCCCCTAACCGCTCCATACCCTCGGGCCTGGGGCCTCCAGCCCCCTCCCCACCTGGCACCCTGCAGGGTCTCGGCAGCCGCTTCTCTTTCCCTGCAGCCGGACTCCGGTTCCCCAGGGGCACAGGATAGGCACAAGGGCTTAGCGGACGGCCCGGGTTCCCGGCGCTGGGAATCCCACAGCATCCCCCAGAGGGAGGGACTGCGTCCTCCCGAGCATCTGGGGTTAAGCGGGGATAGAAGGGTCTGCAGCCACGGCTGTCCCGTCCGCAGGTCTACCAGTTCACGCGTCCACTCGCCCCACAACCAGACTGTTCTGGGCCCCCGCCCCCCTAGCTCTCACACTCGGCACAAATCGAACTTCTCTCCCAAACTTTTGTCTGCTCGGCCGGATCTACTTTCCTGGAAGGGCGGAGCGCTGTGTGTACAAGAGCAATGGGGTGTCTGCGCAGGGATCTCCGGTGCGTAGCGAGGAGGGGGTCACCAAGACTAAGTGCCCTGCACGTGGAGATTCGACAGGACTCGAGGAGGAGGGCAAGAGGCAGTTTGGGCAGCTGTGACCCTATCACTTTAGAATTGAAACAGGAAAAAGTGTAAGGGAAGAGAGAATGGGGACTCTTTATTTGCAGTTGGAATGCGCGGAGGGGCACTCTGGAATGTCATGCGTTTGGCAAGGGGTGATCSAGGCATGTTGTGCGCAAACACCGTGACTTTGTTCCTAGTGTGGGTACTGCAGGAGACTTGGAGAGAGACTGTACAGAAGTGGTAAGATAGGGAGGAGCCCAAAGTTGAAGACAGGAAGAAAGAAAAAAGGTAAATACATAAAGAGGTTTAGAGACCTGTAGGTAAAGATAGCCCTGAAAGGCAAGGATTCCCAAAAGAATAGGTGTAACAGGTAGTGAAAGGGAGAGCCAAGGGGAATCTGGGAGGTTCAGAGACCAAGGGATGTGTAGACAAAAGAAAGGACAAGTTGGTCTTGAGAACTTAAGAGACAGATAAACTGCAATAAAAGACACAACTTTCTGGACTCACAGTTCTGTGGCGGTAGAGGAGAGTGGAAGATTTATGTGTTTGTAGAAGCAATGAAAAGGAGTAAGAAAAACAGCTGGGGACTGATCCCCACTTTATGAAGGAAGGAAGGAGATTAAAGCAGTGAGGAAAAGGTTTGGAACTCATTGCTACATGAAGGGTAGGAGATATGGAAGGATAGATAGACACCCCCTGGTGTTGGGAAACGAGATTTTTAGCAAATATTTCAGGTAAGATTGGGTGGATCCAAGGCCTGAACATATCCCCCATCCCCACCCCCTGATGCCAGCCAACTTTCCCCTTTAGTTTTGGTCGTCACAGAATGTTGATGACAAAGAGGAAGTATGAACTTATGAGAGGAAAAAAAATGCCGTTTAGAGGAAGTAGCAAGTAAAAGGAATTGGGGGGGGGGGGAGGAAAAGAGGCTGATACTGGCCATACTGGAAGAACCAAGAATAAAGAAAAGGAGGGCCGGGGGGTGTACAGTGCCTGCCTAGCAGCATATGCTGCTAGGTCCTGGGTTGGATTCCCAGCACAGTAAAAAAAGAAGAAGAAGAAACCCTGGCTACAGCTAAAGAGCCCAATGATTTTGTCCAGACTAGCACATCAGGGACATGGGGTAGAGGGAGTAGAATGGAGAAGGCTAATGACTCCTTTGTATTTAGCTATTAAATGAGTATGAAAATTACATGCAAACAAATTATGCACATTATTTTCATCTCAACATTTTGAACACCTTTTATAATTTTAGTGTAGCCTTGGGGAATGGGGAAGAAAAGGTTAATGTTTTTGGGAAATGCATTTGGCACAAACTATTTGATGTCTTTGCTCAAGTTGCATTGTCTACCAGACCTCATCTCTCCAGAGAATCAGCTTGTTTCCCTGGTCAAGCCTATAGCTTTCTCTGACCCTTAGGACAGCTCACTGTCAAACTGGAAGCTGGGAGGACTGAAAGCACTGGTAACAGAGGGAGCTATCAGATTACATCTGGAACCTGTTGTAAAAACATCTTCAGAATTAACCATAATTTTGCATGCACAAGGCCCTGGGTTCAATCCCCAGCACCACAAAAAAAAAAAAAAGAAAAAAAAAAAAAAAGAAAAAAAAATTAACCATAATGCTCTCCCTCCTCCTTTTCTGACTCCACAAGAGGAAGGAAAACCCAGATTTTTCCTTCCAGGTTAGTTACTTACATTTGATCCTTTGGAATGAGGATGAGAGAGTAAATCTTGTGAAAAGTTCTCTGGGGAAGCCATTGAAAAGGCCCACCTTTGGGTGGTGGCAACAATGGCCATAGTTAAAACGAACAGCTTGTGTTTTCAGGGGACAACAGAAAGCAGAGAAGAGTGAAGGGAAAGTAGGGTACCTGATAGGACATGCTCCAGTAGTGCTTATGACCTCAGGGTAGCCATTCCACAGTCTGAACTGGAACTGGGAGCTTCAGAGGCCCTCTTTATCCCCAAGACTTTAATTACAAATCTGAATCTCTAGCCCAGACTTTCTTAGACTTAAAAACTCAAATGAAAAAAAAAAAAAAACAAAAAACCTCAAATGACTACTAGCATTTCCACTTGGTTGTCTCAGAGATACCCAACACCCTAAATTGAGCTCATTTTTCCTGCTTCCTGCAACTGGCTCCTCCAGCACCATTGGCCACTTAGTTGCTTACACCAGACACCTAAGCATCAACCCTATATTCTCTTAACTTCAAATCCTAGAGTCCTATCAGATCTGCTTCCTAAATATCTTTCAAGTCTGTTCTCACCTGATCACTAGTATATAGTATCTGTCTTGTCTCTCTTAAACCAAAGCAAGAGTGCCCAGACAAGTCTGTCTTCCTCCAATCAATCTTACACCCTGAGGTCAAGTGATTTTTTCTTTCTTTTTTTGTGTGTGAGTGGTGCTGGGGATCGAATTCAGGGCCTTGTGCATGCAAGGCAAGCACTCTATCAACTGAACTATATCCCCAGCACCTCAAGAGATTCTTACAATACATAAAACTGATCATCTCATTTTTCTTCTTAGAAACTTTCAATGAATCCTCACTGTCCTTGAACTAATGTATATATTCTTTTTTCTCTTTCTCCTTTGTACACGTGTGCATGTATGTATTTTACTAGGAATAGAACCCAGTGGTGCTCTACCACCCAGCTACATTCCCAGCCCTTGTTGTTGTTGTTGTTATTATTATTATTTTGAGATAGGGTCTCCCCAAGTTTCCCAGGCTGGCCTCAAACTTGTGATCCTCCTCCCTCAGTTTCCTGAGTAGTTGGGGATTACAGGAGTGTACCATCATACCCAGCTAATGTCTTTCTTCTTTAGGGTATTTTACAAGGTCTCTCTGACTCTTCAGACTCTTTGCAATTTTCCCTCCCCAAACTGATCTGCAGTAAAAGTACTCTCTTTTGCTTCTGGGCTTTTGTAGATGCTGTCTCCTGTTTGGAATACTCTCCATGCCTCTTCTCTTCTGGTTAACTCCTCACATCTTTCAGGTATCAGTGTAAACATCACTGCCTCTGAGAAGCCTTTCCTGACTTCAAGAGTAGGGTAGCTACCCCAGCTACATGCTGCCATTGCACTCTGCATTCCTCCATGGTCTCCCTTATTACAGCTCATTTCATTGCCTACTCAATTTCCTCACTTCCTGACTAAAAATAAAACCTGATCATCTAGAACCTTATCAGCAGTATATCTGTAATACATAGTACCTGACACCTACTAAGCAATCAATATTTGTTGTTAAGATTGAGTGAATGGATATAAGGTCATTTTACTTCTCAGTGCTTTCAACAAAAAAGCATGTGTATGCACACACCTACATCTTCTCCAAAGTACAGCTTGGTTGACAGTATGAAAAATAACTATGTGTATTCTGTTTGGTCATAAAGTGGGAGAAAAGCTGACAGACATTGGAACTCTTTCAGCTTTAATTTCCTCATCTGTAAGATGGGGATAATAAAATTTTCCTTATATAATTCAATAAGCAATAGTTATTATATCTAGATTCCAAACATTGATGGAGTCCACCTTCTTTAGCTCATAAGAATCAAGCCCATGACTGAAACTTCCCACCAGGTGGCAGTATTACCCTGGACTGGTCCGTTCTGCTTCCTCTGCAGAACTGGACTAGCAGTCATGGGGAAGCAAAAGGTACAACCAGGGCTGCTTTCCCTGAGCCTTAGGGGAAAATGACTCAGAGATAGAGACATGTGTCAAGGAGGGTTGGTGTTTCTTAGACCCATCCTCCTTTTCTCATGCCATGCTCCTCCGTGGCACTGTTTATGCTTAGGAATAAGCATTTTCTGGCTTGCCATTCACAGTGAGGGTGTTTTTCCCCTTCTAGATAAGTCTTTCACCCGACCAGAGAGAGCTTCTAGCTTCCACTTCCAGCACAGACTATGTTAAGAAGTGAGTCAAACTTTCTCAGACTGCAGAGGGTTTTTCATTATTCTGGGAAGCCCCACAGCCACCCATTTATGGGACAGGGAGAGTGGCAGAAGCCAGAATTATTCTTGGTTATAGAGTTCACTCATCCTTTTCCACCTTGATTTCGATGAATGAGTTCAAGTCAGGACAGCAGGTTTTGTGGGGTTGGTCAAACGATGGAGAGATGGGTCCATTCTCATTTCCTCCCTCTTCTTCCTCATCTTGGAAATTAGGATTGTAAAGTTCTGGTGGAAGGAGCTGGGCTTCAGCAGAAGGCAGTCTGTCTGAGGGAGGCCCATATACACGGTTGGCCTTGGTGCCATGCTTAGAGTTAGCATCCAGGTGATAGCAGAGCTCTGTGAGGCGCTGGGCCCGGAAACGAGGAGAGCGGGCCACCCAGACACCTGGCTCATTAAGACTGTCCTCCTCATCAGACATCAGCTCTTCTGTCACATCTTTCCACAGGTTTTGGTCCTCAGGTCCAAAATGCCTCATGATGCTGGATCGGTTGGCAAAAAGCTAAGAGAGGAGCACACAACAGACATCAGGAAGAGAAAAAGACTATGGATTAGGTTTGGGGAAAGGGTTTAGGTAGGATAGAAGGCAGTGTAAAGTCTGTGCCTAGGGGAACCTAGATTCCTGGTCAGATCTTAGAATTGGCTCACCCTCTTTTCTCCTCCATCAGCCTATGTTCCTGGCTCTGAACCCCATTCTTAGACACCATGTCTGCTGGATCTTCTCCCTGGTACTTCTTAGGATTTAGGGTTTAACATCTTGAAAGGAAGGCCTAGAGACTTACCCGGTATCGGCGACTTCGAAGTTTCTTCTCCTCTTTTTCCTTCAGACCTTTAAAGGGGTTCAGGGAGTTGCGATACTCACGCCTCTTGGTGAGGAAGTAAGCCACACAGGCTCCTGAAGGAGGGAAGGAAAGCAAGAAGTAGGGTCCTTCAGAGGTGGTCCCCAGCCCTTTTTTCTGCCCTACACTAGAAGTTTGGAATCACTATTTAGATGATAGGCTTCCTTGACATACCCACCAGCATCTATTTAGTCGTCTTTGGTTTAATACCCTTTGCCCACCTCCATCTCCAACACCGACTCCTCCCAAGTGATCTCCAACACCGACTCCTCCCAAATCATCTCCTGCTGCAAAAAGACAACTCCAGTTGCTTTCCTACCTCCTCCTCCACTAAACTGACACCTATTGTCACTGTATCGATAGCAAAGTTCAAGTACTTTTTTAGTGGAAGCTTTCATAATACTTCAGCATTAGTTACAAATATTAGAAGAGAGCAAGGCCAAGCCTAGCTTCTGACCTCAGATTAGGGGCCTACATAAACATAATGCATGATGGTCTTTAGTCCTTTCCTTCTATTTTTTTTTCTTTTAGACTGAATAGGGGGGAAAAAGTTGATTTGAGGTAACCCTGTGAATACATGTAGGTGAAAAGAATAGTGGAAAAAAAAAGTATTTACAAATACTCTATTTTCAACAACATATAAATCTTCCCCATTATGCCTCTTTTCCTCTGGGCAAGAATCAGGGAGTAGGGCTGGGGATGTGGCTCAAGCGGTAGCATGCTCCCCTGTCATGCGTGTGGCTTCGGTTTGATCCTCAGCACCACATACAAACAAAGATGTTGTGTCCGCCGGAAACTAAATAAAATATTAAAATTCTCTCTCTCTCTCTTAAAAAAAAAAAAAAGAGAAAATTAAAAAAAATCAGGGAGTAAGACAGAGGGAAGAAAGGATGGATGGGAGAAAATTCAGTTTTCCTCACCTTTCAGTTCTTTATCAGTATAATTGTGGGGACTGGTGACCAGCTCCTGCTTGAGCTTTTCCAGAAGGAACTTCACTACTGAAATATTCCAAGAGGACTTGATGCTGCCACAGAGAATAGAATGAATGAAGCAGTAGGTTTTTTAAGAGCCAGACAGAGACACCCAGCACTAATCAACTTTGTGGTAAATTCCTCCTCGGCCTAAGACAGGATACAGGGGCAATGGTAAGATAAGGCCCCAGCCTCATTGTTGGATTGCAGCTACTCCCTCTACTTCCCTCTCCTTAGCAAAGTACCTTGTGATCTTTTTCCTCAAGTACCATACCTTTCAGACCCATTGAATCTCTTGTCATTGGTGATGTGGTTATGCACATTGTGGACCAATTTCTAAGGGGGAAAAAAAAAAACAGAATAAATCCAGGAGTGGATATTATGAAAACCCTCTTCTGGTCCCTAAGGTAAAAGACATTATTCCTAGAGGATTCTCTGCCTGAATCCTCTCCAAAGCCTAGATACTTTTTTTTTTTTTTTTTTTAAGTGTGTGTGTGTGTGTGGGGGGGTGCTGGGGATCAAATAATCCAGGTCCTTGTGCATGTGAGACAAGCACTACCAACTGAGCAACATCCCCAGCCCTAGGTATCATTTTTGTAAAAGGTGAAAGAGTTATATGATCTGAAGAGAAACTAGAGTATAGGTAACATTTTTGTATATGACCTTTCTTAGACAGAGTCTGTATCTTCTCTTCCCTCCCTCCGTCCCTCCCTCCCTCCCTTCCTTCCTTCCTTCTTCCCTCCCTCCCTTCATTCCTTCTTCTCTCTTTATCTCTATCTCTATCTCTGTATCTCTTTCTTTCTGTACTGCATTTGGAAACCAGGGCACTTTAATACTGAGCCACATTCCCAACATCCCCAGTTCTTGTTATTTTTTATTTTGCAACAGGGTCTCCCTAAATTGCTGAGGCTGGCCTCATACTTGGGATACCCCTGCCTCAGCTTTCTGAGTCACTGGGATTGTAAATGTGCCAAGTGAGCATTTCTAATGTCCCTCACTTTTTTTTTTCTTTTTCATTTATTTTGTGTCAAGACTCCAGGGCCTGTTCTGTCTTCTGCTTCCAAGTAATGTGATCACTAGAGCAGCTGGTGTCAAACAATTCATGAAATACCCCTAATAACAAGGAAGAGAACAAATTTATACCAAAACTACTGTAAGTGAGCATTTCTTAAAGTCCCGTACTCTTGCAAATTTTTATTTCTTTCTTTCAGTGCTGGGGATCAAACTCAGGGCCTTGTGTACACTAGGCAAACACTTTACCACTGAGCTGCACCCTTAACCCATCTCTTCCATATTTAAAACATTCTTCAAAATATATTTGCATTTATTTGAATATAAAAATGTCTTCTGGGGCTGGGGTTGTGGCTCAGTGGTACAACGCTCGCCTAGTGGGAGGCCCTGGGTTCGATCCTCAGCACCACATAAAAATAAATAAATAAAATAAAGGTATTGTGTCCAACTACAACTAAAATATAAATATTTTTTAAGGGCTGGGGATGTGGCTCAAGCAGTAGCGCGCTCGCCTGGCATGCGTGCGGCCCGGGTTCGATCCTCAGCACCACATACAAAGACATTGTGTCCACCGAAAACTAAAAAAAAAAAAAAAAAAAAAAAAAAGTCCTCTAAAATCTTTTTTTTTTAATTTATTTTTTAGTTATAACTGGGCACAACATCTTTATTTTATTTATTTGTTTTTTTATGTGGTGCTGAGGATCGAACCCAGGGCCTCAAACGTGCTAGAAGAGCGCTTTACCACTGAGCCACAATCCCAGCCCTGTCCTCTGAAATCTTCTAGTAAAATTGATGACCCAAGGGGCTGGGAATGTGGCTCAGGCGGTAGCACGCTCGTCTGGCATGCGTGCGGCGCGGGTTCGATCCTCAGCATCACATACCAACAAAGATGTTGTGTCCCCCGAGAACTAAAAAATAAATATTAAAAATTCTCTCTCTCTCTCTCTCTCTCACTCTCTCTTTAAAAAAAAAAAAAATTGATGACCCAAGATAATGTCCCAACTTTGGCCATGGCTTTATATATCCCTTTGCATATTATCACAAGTCCCAGGGGCACACACACCATGGTCTGATAAACAAACCTAAAATCACAAAAATGTGAATTGGAAAGCACCTTGGAGACTGTCACCAACCTCCCTTTCATGTCATTAGGTTGTCTGTTTTTCAGTTTTGCTCAAAACACATCTAATGATGTATTTTCCATTTTGAGTCAGCTGATCCTATTATTAAACACGTTTAATTGTTAAAAAGTTTTGCCTTACATGCACCAAAAGTTTGAACCCAGTTTGCCAGTACTTTAGGTATTTGAAGATGGCTTTCATGGACTCCTTAAATCGTCTTCTTTTTTTCATTTTATACCAGAGAGTGAACTCAGGGGTGCTTACCCACCGAGTCAGATCCCCAGCTCTTTTTATGTTTTATTTGGAGACAGGGTCTCCCTAAGTTGCTTAGGACTTCATTAAGTTGCTGACTTGCTTTGAACTTGTGATACTCCTGCCTCAGCCTTCCAGGCCACTGGGATTACAGGCATGCGCCACCACACCGGCCTTAAGTCTTCTTTTGTCTGACCTGACACCTCCCAATTCCTTTAGGCATTCCCCATAGTTTTTAGACATATTCATCAGAAATAGGAGGCTCTCTGATTTACCAATGTCTCTCTTGCAAACTGGTACCTGACAGGCTGGGGTGTAGCTCAGTGGTAGAGTGCTTATCTAGCATGTGTGAAGCCCTGAGTCCAATCTCTAGTTCACACACACACACACACACACACACACACACACAAAGCAAAATGGCATCTAGGACCAAATCTAACTTGGCTAAGATCTAGTCAGAGGGAACATTACTTCCCAACTCTATACTACTAGGAATAAAACTCAAGGTGGCATTATCTTTCCTAGCAATCCCAGACCTTCTCATAATATCACAATTGGTGCTTTGAACTTTTTTTTTTTGTACCAAGGATTGAACCTAGGGCACTTTACCAATTGAGCTACATTCCTAGCCATTTTTATTTTATCATTATATTAACTTATATTAATTATATTTAATTTAATGTATTTTATATCTATACACACACACATACTCGTATGAGACGTGTATGTATGTTTTTGTTTCTTTATTTTTTTTTGCCATGCTAGGGATTGAATCCAAGGACACTCTACCCCTAAGCTATAACCCCAACCCTTTTTTTATTATTAATTTTGAAACAGGATCTTGCTAAGTTTTCCAGTCTGGCCTTGAATTTGCAATCCTCCTGCCTCAGCCTCCCAAGTAGCTGGAGTTACAAGTGTGTACCAAAGCACTCAGTGCTAGCTTCATATTTGATATTGTTGTTTACCTCTTAGAAGTCTAAACTTAAGGCTGGGGATATAGCTTAATTGTGGCTTTAATCCCCAGCACCACAAAAAAAGAAGAAGAAGAAGAAGAAGAAGAAGA